GCCGGAATTACAGGCGCGTGCTACCACGCCCGGCTGATTTTTTGATTTATTGTAGAGATGTTTCATCTAAATTTATGACATGTAATGAAACACGGGAGAAAGGTGTTTTGCTGTATAAAAAAATCATGTCAGTTATTCTTGACTATAATTGCCAGGAGCTAGGCAAATCTTTTATGGGAATAATTATGTTCTTTTTTCCCCTTCCCTTTGGGTCCCAGCTACATGCAATTAAATAAATCATCCAACCTCAATCTTGGCACAGTATGGTTATTTATCTTTGCAAAGTCTTCTCTTGTTTGCTTGCTTTTTGTCTATTTATTTAAGTAGTTAAACCTGTGAATGAGGTAAGGTCGTTTAGGAGTTTTTGTTTTGGTTTTTTTTTTTTTGAGTCAGGATCTCACTCTGTTATCCAGGCTGGAGTGCAGTGGCACAGTCATGGCTCATTGTAGCCTCAACCTCTTGGGCTCAGGCAATCTTCCCACTTCAGTCTCTTGAGTAGCTGGGACTACAGGCACACATCACCAGACCTGGTTAATTTTTAAATTTTTTGTAGCAATAAGGTCTTGCTGTCTCCCAGGCTGGTCTCAAACTCCTGATCTCAGGCAAACCTCCCTCCTTGGCCTCCCAAAGTGCTGGGATGACATGCGTGAGACACCACACCTGACCTTTTTGGTTTATTTTTTAACCCAGGGTTCCTGGCATGCTGTGACCAGAGCCAGCTGTTATCATTAGCTGTCTCTGCCATCGAAGATGCTCTACTGTTTTTGATTCTACACACACACACACACACACACACACACACACAGACAGACACACACATGCACACACACATATACCCCATGAGGGAAGGGCTAATTGATGCTATTACCAAATGTGTGTGTGTTTTTACAGTGACTAAAGACTATCAGGTGACTCTGAGCAAATATTTCCATTAGGATTGATCCTCAGCCCTACATCAAGGGCACTCAACTCAAATACAATAGTAACTTTTTGCTGCTCCCCAAACACAACTTTTGGCATAAATGGTGAAACAAGTATGATCACTTGGGGTTACCCTTTCTTTCAAAATGATCCTGCATGTACATACAGTAATCTGGCAATCTGAATGTGAACTTTTGTTACAAGCATAGAATGAGAGAATTTTAAGGACAGAGGAAAACTTTCTCAGTCCCTTATTTTCTTGCCTTTTTTTTTTTCTTTTTTGACCCAGCATAGTGAGATTGGGTCTCACTATGTTGTCCAGGCTGATCTCAAACCCTGGCCTCAAATGATCCGCTCACCTCAGTTTCCCAAGCCTGGCACGTCTTCCCTTATTTTTTCCTGGAGGGAATCCAAAGCTCTAAATGACTAAGGAACTTCCCAAATGTTAATAGTAAGCTAGTGGCAAAATCCAAGAAAGGCCTTCTGGGAGAAAAATACTGTTGTTTTATTGCCTACACATATTTCATTTTAAGCAAGAAATAAATTAAAAGAAGGGTTTGAAGAGTAGTTTGTCAAGCATAAAAGCCATCTGACATTAGTCTATACTTCAGTTAGAGTTTATAAGGTGAGAATGTTCCTTTGAAGGAGTGAACTGGGCAGCAAGGTTTTCTTATAGGAATTAACTCAGGCTTTAAATCTTGGCTTCATTCAAGTCCTGAGTCTTCATAAATTTTTCTTTACCTCTTGTTAACTTGGGAATGTGAATTTTCTTTCTCAATCACATTACCATTGAGAAATTCTAACTACTGTAATATCACACTGCAGGTTCCAGAACAAGCAAGATTAACTATTTCTTTATAAACAAAAACAATTTCATTAATTTTCTGCCTCAAAAAGATTTCAGATTATTTGAACAAATACATAATTATTGTGGCTTGCTACTTAAAATATTTTTTCCTTATTACAAAAGTAAACATGTTTACTGAGAGGAATTTTAGAAAATATGGACATTAAAAAAAAAAAGAAAATGGAAATCAGAAGTAATTCTCCCTCCCAGAGATCATCATTGTTGGTGTTCAGGTGTACTTTTCCCCAGTATTTTTTCTTTTTTCTATGTACATATACTTTTTTGTGTGTGCTTGGTTTTCTATGCTGTATGCCTTTTTTAAAATTTACTATATTAAGATCACTTCAGCTTTCACTGTGGCTCATTAACACTGTTTTAAGTATAGACTAGACATAACTACAATGGTCGTTAACATTTAATCTGTTTCATTTTTTCCCCCTATTATAAACCTCATGGCTAATTGCTAGGCCAAAGAACACATATATTTAACGCTTTTCAGAGAAAATCTGCTCCAAAAAATTTTTTTCTAAATTTGCACAGTCACTAAGAGTGTCTTTTCCTAAATGATCACATCTGCTATATATTATGATTTTTTTAAAAAGAAAGAGAGAGATAGGTTGGGCATGGTGGCTTGCTCCAGAAATCCCAGCACTTTGGAGGGCCAAGGCAGGAGGACCGCTTGAGCCCAGGAGTTTGAGGCTGTGGTGAGGTACGATCACACCACTGCACTCTGGTGACAAAGTCTGGGTGACAGAGTGAGACCCTGACTCAAAACAGAAACATAAAAAAGAGATAATGAGCCGTTTGTTATGTGAAACACTCTTCAGCTTGATACAAAAACCCAGGATTGTCTGTCTATGTGCCACAGACCTTAAAGAAAGGCATAACTTCTGAACAGGCCTGCAGTACCTACATTCCTGAGAATTAACAAATCCTGAGAATTAGCAAAGAAAAGCATATTTTCTAATCTCCCTTACATTCCCCATTAAGTCACTTCAAAGAACCCTTAGCCCCCTGCAGACTGAGCTCACTCAACTGAGAGAAACAAATCCCTATTCACTCCCTTTTATCATAGATTTGAAAATATATCTCCCATGTAACCATAAGCCTTGTAATTTCTATAGCTTTTGTTGTTATAACTACTAATCAACAACATGTTGTAGTAAATAATATTTTACTCTGTAACAGGTTCTGTTAACTCCTTTATACTATGTGAAGCTTATTCAACTCTTCAGTTTGGTGTTACTGATAACACTGTGAGCTACCTTTTGGTAGCCATTGCCAGGAAATGCGTACCATAAATGTTACTACTGACAAAATATGGCTGTAACTTGAGTTCTCTACAATGCACTGTCAGTCCCGTAGTCAATCTATAGGTACCAGCAACCCTAAACTTAAAAAAAAAAATGAACTGTGGAATCTAAGGGGCAAGCAGGCTGGTACCAGAAAGGCCAGGAGTCACGTTGTGCTCCCAGAATTCAGAAATAAACTTCTTTCTGCCAGTTCCCTGCCTTTCGATTTATTGACGTTGAGAGAGAGCGGCTGAAAGTTGACTCAGACAGTAACAAGTTGACCTACCCAGCCCACCACAATCTGTCCCCTCCGGACATTTTTAAACTTGCCCTCTACTATTCCCAGAACGTCTGGCCATGACCAGCTATTCCTTCTTCCTCTTCATTCTGCCTCAGACTTTCAATATCAACCCTCAACCACAGCTCAGAAAATGGCTCTCCAGCTGCAGAATCTTTCCTCATAATTCAGTCAGCACTGAC